GAGTCTCAAAATGGTCGACACATAAAGATCGATATATTGGAAGCCTATATTTGGACATCGGAATCGTTGCGGGTGAAATCGGCATTTTACCGGAGTACCGGGAGGTTACCGGAACCCCCCGGGTGATGAGGACATGACTACCTTGGATATGACCAAAAATATTGCATATATGCATATTTGTCAGGTGGTTTCTAGTGCAAACTATTCAATAATCTATTTATGTTATCCAGAACAAAAATACTTCACACACTTTTGTGTTTTGTCTAATTGCAGGTGTATGGGACATTTGTACAATCCACATATGAAGATAAGGAAGAAAGAGATGTTTATTTGCTGTCCAAAAAGTTCTCTCACGTCACTTTTGGCCCAAAAGAAGATAGAGTCCAAGTCTCTCACGTTCTGGATTCAGATTCGGACTGCACAGACGTACCTGACTCAAAACGCACACAAGTTTTTCATACGGACTCCGAATTGGGTGATTCTTTTTTTGTTGGAAACTAGATTTCGTGCACTTTCCAACCCAATTGGAATCACCTTAAAATTCATCCGGAGCGTTGAGTTGTGGACGAAACAATCTGATGCTGCAGCAGAATCCGAGTCAAACTACAAGTCCAAAGGTGTTACATCACCTCCACTTGGGACCATTGGCCTTGTACGACCTAGATTTAGTTTAGGCTGCCTTGGGACGTCCTCCCACCTCCTTGGCCACCATCCCTTGCTCCTATATAAGTAGATCCATCTAGTAGCTTTTCCTTGGGATTTGTTTAGTTAAAAGTTAGCCATTGCAACTTCGTGTGCTTCGTTTGTGTCCAACGACCAGACCAAGACCACTTTTCGGATCCCCACCATTATCAATACTTCATACATATTCGCGATATTCAGATTGCTTTTATCATATTCTTGCTTGTTCTTCGATTGCTTGCAGGAATAGACCTTCGTGGTCAGGTTGATCGTGCTCCGGCGTGGTCAATAACCTCTCGGAGTTGGTTTAGCAATTGCTAAGGCACAACGTCGTTGCACGTTTGTAGTCGGATCGTCAAAGTCGTCTCCACCAAATCGATAGTTATCATCTCATCGAAAGATCGGGACACCCCGCCTCTATCACAGGGGGGTTATTGGGCCTACATGGGCCTCAAGGGAGAAGAGGGAAGGAGCCAGGAGAGGGCCGTGCGCCCCTCCCCTTCCTAGTCCGAATAGGACAAGGGAAGGGGGCGGTGCCCCCCCTTTCCTTCCTCTCTTCCTCCTCTTTCCCCCCTTCTCCTACTCCTACTTGGAAAGAAGGGAGTGCTACTCCCGGTGAGAGTAGGACTCCCCCCTTGGCGCGCCCTCCTTGGCCGACCGCCTCCTCCCCCCTGGCTCCTTTATATACGGGGGCGGGGGGGGCACCCATAGACACACAAGTTGATCTACGGATCGTTCCTTAGCCATGTGTGGTGCCCCCCTCCACCATATTCCACCTCGGTCATATCGTCACGGAGTTTAGGCGAAGCCCTGTGCCGGTAGAGCATCATCATCGTCACCATGCCGTCGTGCTGACGGAACTCATCTCCGGAGCTTTGCTGGATCGGAACACGGAGATCGTCATCGAGCTGAACGTGTGCTGAACTTGGAGGTGCCGTACGTTCGGTGCTTGGATCGGCCGGATCGTGAAGACGTACGACTACATCAACCGCGTTGTCATAACGCTTCCGCTTACGGTCTACGAGGGTACGTGGACGAACACTCTCCCTCTCGTTGCTATGCCATCACCATGATCTTGCGTGTGCGTGGGAAAATTTTGAAATTACTACGTTCCCCAACAGTTGAGTCATCTAGTACTCGAGCCATGGATGTGGTGGTGACGGTGCTCGGAAATAAACCTCCTTCCAAGTCCATCTTCAATGTGAATGATCTTCTTTTTGCGGTCGGTGCTGGTTCTGGGAGGTACATCTCTGCCGCCTTGCTTCAAGGTGTTCGATCCTTTGTTCCTCTTGTTGGATTAGGTTTCTCGAACCATCCGGACGGCTTTGTTGGGGGTGAATGCGGATCTATGCTTAGACCACCATGCGGTGGTGCTGATTGCCCGATCGGGCGTTTAAGCTACGGTGAGGTTCATTGTGTGGCAGTGCAAAATGCACCTCCCTCTGGCTCATGGTGCAGCTGCAACTCGTTCCATCGCCTTCCTCCAGAATCTTCGTCCTTTGTCTAGCCGGCCCCCCTCGCCCCAATATGTTGCATGGTGGACTCCATCTTGTGGGCAACATGGGGGGTTGGAGATACAACGCTCATGCGAGGTTGAACAAAGAGGGCAATGGCGGATTGGCTTCGTCTGACTGGTTCCATGTTAAAGTTGATCCTAGTGTGAAGCGCCTGAGAGGTGTGACCTTAGTGTCGACAGTGAGAGGAGGAAGATCTCTTAATCTTCAGTGCTTTCCCTTCAACTTGACATGTTGTTCTTGTATTCTCACAAGTCCATATACACTTCATACTCCACCGTAGCTGAATCTTATTAATGTATCCTAAAAAAAGTAGTTGTCACAAAACTTCGACATCATATTACTATAAAAACATATTAAAATAGTAACTCCATAAAATGAGCAAAACTTGAACTTCATTTCATTTCATGTCAGAGTTCAACGTCCTCTATAACACTAAGCTCCCTAGTTTTAAAGAGCCCACATTCTTTTAAGGTCTCCAATTAGAATTGGGTCATCCGATTTTGACCGGGTCAACAATTTCTCAAAGCACTCTCATTCAATTCTTTTATATTATACACTATGCATTCTTATTTTTAAGGCCTCATAATTAATTGAGGTATTCAATTAAGAATTGTGTCGTCCGATTTTGACCGGGTCAATAATTTCTCAAGCTCTCTCATTCAATTTCGCTAAGTTCCCTAATTTTAAAACTCTTTCATTTAATTGAGGTTTCCAATTTTGGATTTGGTTCACGACTTTGATCGGACAAACAATTTTTTAAATCAATTAGCAGCAACCAGCCTATAAAAACATATCAATCCCACACACCCTCCCACCACATAGAAAAAGAAGCGTTGCATTTGATATTGTAGCACCAATATAGTATATGCAACCACTGACACTGAAATTTCTCCACATAAATATCGGTTGGTTGGCCGATAACATAGAATCACACCACGAAAGGCACACGAAATCAATGCATTATAAATAAAAATAAAAAGCACTATCATCTCCCTCCACCCACCAAACTAAATATTCCATCCATTCCAAAATATAAAGGGTATTAGTTTTTTAAAAGTCACATTTCTTTAACTTTGACCAAGTTTAGAGCAAAAATGTCAACATCCACAATATTAAACAAAAAAGTATGGAATTTCATTTCACGATGAATCTAAAAATACCGATTTGATATTCTAGATTTTGATATATTTCTCTACAAATTTGATCAAAGTTAAAAGGTTTGCCTTTTCAAAAAAAAATACACCTTATATTTTGAAACAGAGTGGGTTTTTAAAAAAAAAACAATAACACCAAAGGCGTAGCAAAGCGACCCAACCCTTCTAGTTCCATATGAATCACCGGTCCATACAACCCATAGTTTAATGTTTGGTTGTAACCAAAAGAACAAGTCCATACAACCCATAGTTCAATCTTTTGGTTGTTATCAAAAACACAAGTCAAACACCACATATGCAATCAATCTTCAATCTCGGGCTTCGGGAAATGTATGTTTCAAACACCTAACAACCCACAACATCTTTTGAGGGTTCTCCAAAGCTTTGAACTTCATTGCAATACAAGGATAGTCAACCAAATTAATATGCTTAGTAGAATAGTAATTAGCAATAAAATCCAAACCAACCCGAGGTTTTATTTCATGTTCTCCTAACAGGCCTTTAGATATGTTATTGGTGTTAAAAATCTTCGGTATGGCAATAGCAAGTCTTTCATTATAAGCCATTATGGTTGCTTATAGCCCCTCTTCCGCACAAGAATTAGTTTTGGAAGCCAGTGACTCATTTTCCTGCGAGGTAGCGACATCGTTGGCTATTTCTTCTTCAAGATTAGTCACCTATGCAGCTAGTGGCTTATTTGACTCTATTGTATATTGCCATGTGGCCATGCTTCCTTTGTCCATAATCATCATCTGATTATAACGACTAATAGTCTTGTAAGTAAGGGTTCAACATCTTTGTGGGCCTATTAGAAACAAAAGAAATAATTTAGCAGCTAATATGCAATGCAAATAAATTCCATCGACTATTTTTAGAATAGTAGTAAAACTGAGCCTCTTTCCAGCCCTCTCACCCCCTATGCCTCGTTAGCTCGGATTTCACAATTTGGTCGTTCTCATTCGTTTGTGTATTCCGCCCTCTCCACGTTTGCCAATTCGTAGTCCGAAGTCCTAAAGGGCAGCTACTCCAAAAGAAAATCTGAAACCCGCTGGTTAAGGCATAAAAGAACTCATTTCAGCAAGTGTTTGCACATAATAAAGATACTTATTTCAGCAAGTATTTTGGATGAACATACCCATTTCAAAAATATTTATCCATGAGAGAACTCACTTCAGCCGATATTTGTTATACGAAAACCACTTAAGAAAAGAATGAAAGAACTAATGGCAATAAAATGGATGCCTTAGTATGGTCTGTGTAACGCTCCAAACAAAGAACAATCACATCTTTTTGTTCATTCATTATCGCACTCATACGCATCAAATTACATTAGTTCTAGTACTCACACGTGCACGTGCCACGCATTTGGAAGTCTCAAATGCATACACCGATACACACTGGATACACAGAGTTTGGCACTTAAAATATGTATACTTTTTTTTTTGCGGGCACTTAAAATACGTATACGCCAAGTGCTTTTATCTTGCCATGATTTATTAATACCAGGAGTATATATATTACTCATAACGAACAACGAATGAACAAATGAAATACTGTGTACACTACAGGGTTCCTTCCAGAAAAACATATATGAGATCAAAAGCAGCAGCCGCTATGGTCGGGTTAATATTATCAACCAGCTGCCCCGTCACTGTCTGACCACTGGGAACAGGCACCCGTAGACCTGCACAAAACAATAGATTTTATTTTACAGTGAGTCGAAAAATGCGGTGAACAGGAAGTGGTAGCAGCGTCGGCGTCAAACAGTACACGCGTACGTACCTTCGACAGGAAGGATTTCTTGGGCTTCCTTCGCGGGTGGCCCCACGTGGGCACCACCCGGTCCGGCGAGAGCTGCCGCTTCGCGACCGGCGGCACGTCCGGCGCGGCGGCCTTGGCGACCTCCCGGTGCCGCTTCACCTTCTCGAACTGCACCGTGAAGCCCTGCGCCGCCGCGTTCGCGTTCTGCTCGTCCCACACGCCGAACTTGGGCACGGCCGACGGGGCCTTGGCGGCACGGGCCTGCGGTGGCACGCCCTGGCCCGGGCGCCGCTCGTTAGCCGGCGGGGACGCGGTGACCCTCGGCGCTGGCGCCGCTTGCTGGTGGTGCCTCGGCACCGGGGCGGCGTACGCGCCGGCGACCTGCTGCTGCTGCTGGGGCTGGTGGTAGCTGCCGCCGCTGTTGCCGTAGCGCGGCTGGTACGGCCTGGGCGGCGAGAACTTGCTGGCGCGGCTGCTGACCTCGGACGCGGCGCTGCTGCCATTGCTCCCGTTCCGCCGGTGGTAGCCCCCGTGGCCGTGCTGCGCGGGGTAGTGCTGCGCCGGCGAGGGGTGTCCGTGGCCGTGCGAGCTCGGCGGCCTCGAGGGCACGTTACCGCCGAGGTGGTCATAGTGCTGCGCCGGGGCCGCGTGGCCGTGGCCGTGCGAGCTGGGCGGGCGCGAGGGCACGTTCCGGCTGAGGTTCTCGTAGTACTCGTAGGGGTCGAACTCTTGGTCGTCGTGCCCCCTGGGCGCTGGCGCCGCCGTGCCCGGCACGGGCGCGGCCTTGTTCTCGCGCACCTTCTCGAAGAAGACGGTGTAGCCGATGTTCTCGGCGTCCCACGACCCGAACTTGGGAACCACCGGCCCTTTCCCCTGCACACGCACCACGCCAAAATCTTAATAACCCGATAGTAGTAATAATTTTACAGATAAAAATCAATCTAATTTTGACCTCATTTTTCATCTACTTGGACATTTCCTCGTCGGTTAGAAATTCAGAGCAGGTGGAACCTTAATAAGTTCCAGGTTGTAATTAGCGGCGATTAAAGATGAGGAGGAAAAATTAGGCATGGCAGCTTATGTATGTGTCAGCAAGCTCCCAGCTAAGGCCAACCAACGTACGCGTCGTCGGAAAGCAAAACCAACACCATGCTAGGCTAGTGCTGCTCGCGTCGTCAGCTGTCACATTACAGATATGTCAAACCCAACGACAGCTAGCTAGCGGGTAATAAACACCAAACTAGACCTGGCAGTGCCAAATGCACCGGATAGTAGGCATGAGAGGAGTGGCTTGGACGTCCAATTCTAAACAATCAATCGTCCATCCCAAGCAAAGCTAAGCTCAGGTCTCCTTTTCCCCATTCTGAAGAATGCTTCTGCTCGAGGATGAGACCGATCATGTTGGATGGATCTGAGGACGGAGCATGCCATGTGCCCGAGCCCTCCATATCATGCCCAGATCCGTGAGCCCTAACTCCTTGTCTGCTGCTGCCTAACAATGACCATGTGTTGCCAACTTGATGCTCGCACATGGGGACGGCGGCACCGCCCCATGATCCATCATCGTTCCATGCCCAACCATGGTCAATTCCATACGGCCATACGTGTACATGCATACTACTTCACCATTGATCACAATTATGCAAACGCAGCAATCATGAGCCAAAATTATAAAAACAAAACAAATGCATGATCAAGCGGCCATAACAGTGTCGAAATCATGCGTGCATGCACCGAGTATAGGCAGTAAAGCATCGGTAACCACAAAAGGGGAGATGCAAACGTAGTGAGATACTAGGTACTCACGGCCATTAAGAAATGATGATGACGCCTGGCGATGAACTGATGAGAGGGAACCTCTTGGTCGATCCTTGTTTCTCCTCTCCACTCTTCTCTCTCTCTCTCGCTCCCCACTCGATCACAATTGACGATAGGAAACGAGGAGGAGAGAGGGTGTGGGAAGGGAGGCGATGGATGTGCTCGCAGGGCAGGGTGGTTCTTATGATTGGAGTTTCAGAAGCCTGCTGGAACTGACAGCGGCCTAATTAAAGGGAAGCGCGCAACAGAAGAGAAGAGTTCACGGGACAGCACGCACAGCTGTGAGGCGACGGAACGCGGCGGAGCAAGGTGGCAGTTGGAATGTGCCGTGCTTTTTATGGAGGGAGACACTGGAAAGCAAGGAGGATGGTGCCAAAGGAACAGCTCAAAGCTTAAAAACCTAATCTCCCACCTAACTTAACCACAGGGGAGGGGAGAGGACGGTGGTTGTTGCAGCCATGGCCGCTTCTTAAATGAATCCTTCTCGCCAAGTTGCCATTATCATCCATCCTCAACCGGGTTGACCTGGTCAAGGCAGGAAAACAAACCGCAATCATCTAGCCATACGCCATTTACTTTGTTATTGAAATCTCTGTCAAAAAAAATACTTTGTTATTGTAATAGTATGTGTACAATCGTGTCTCTGTTGAGTTGTTCCTCGGAGATTTTTTTTTTCAGGTTGGCAGCCAACATCGTATGACAGCCTTCTGTTTTCAACCGAATCTGTTCTGGCTTCTCTATCTTTTGTTTAGGGTGAGCTGTAGATAACAGCAGCAAGTTTGTGGTAGATGGAATTGATCACTCGGACCAAACGTAGCTTGCTCACTGCTGTGGAGAAAGGACGAATGAGGACAAGAATTAGATGGATCACAACTTCCTCAGGACATGACTAAGCTTTAACAGCACGCATTATACTTGCAGCGTATTATTAGCAAGCCAAAAAAAAAGGAAGACGTAAGCGAACCGCCCAGAAATTTATGTGCAAGGCAGCAGAGCGGTACCCCCTTTCGCACAGCACTACAGCGTGCAGAGGCCCGCTATTAGCTGGCTCACATTTCATCAACAGCTGACGCATTAATGGCGACGCAATTGGAAAGGGAGAGACGAGCGATGGAGGGAAGAAAGACGCACCGAGGAGGCACCGAGAACCTCAACATGGGCTGGAAGCGGAGCCATGACCAAATCTTTATTGCGCCCAGAAACAAGTCCAGCCCTGCAATCCACAAACACGATCGCCACCGTCTCTGTCAGCCGATTACCACACGGAATTGTTCGCGGCATCCGGCACATGGGAGACGCTTGCCTTGCATGCTCATCAGCAGACACCGAGCGCGCAGGATCTGGGGCAGCTGAAACAAAGGCGCAGACCAATAATTTAGTCAAGAAAGGAAGAATCTAATCGAAAGATCACCATATTTGTAGATTAATGGCAGTAATGTCGGAGCACATGCTGCAATAAGATGTCAATGTTAGTTAGTAGTGCCCGCTAACCCTGCACAAGCGTACATATTATCACGGGAAATGGTGCTGCTGTGCGCGCAAAATTTGGGGCACCTTTGGTGGCTAGCAAGTACTCCCTCCGTCTCAAAATAAGTGTATTGAGCTTAGTACAAATTTATACTAGAGCTAGTACAAAGTTGAGACACTTATTTTGGGACGGAGGGAGTATGTACTACCAGCTAACTTTACCTTTTGCAGACATGAAAGACACAATAGGAAATGGTCACAACCATGACCATTGCCGCTCAATACTTCATGATACCAAATACAAAGAAAATACCAAATATAGAGTGCGAAAATACACCCCGCAACCTGCTTGTGTGCATTATCAGAAAAAAACAGGTGCTCAGTCAGTGGTCGAGTCTGGTGGAACAAGTGCCATCAACAATAGTAGTAGATCAAATTATACACAAAACAGATGCATGTGAGACCAACAATCATGGCTTGCTCCCAGAGATTTAAATTGGAGAGAGAGCAACGTAGATGCCCCCAAGAGAAAATAATAGCAAGCATGTGAACACATGCACCGAAGAAATCCGTACTGAGTGAAAAGTAATATATGGATAATCCAGAGCCTCTGAGTGAAATCACTGTCCTGGATTACTGTGAAATATAAAGCATGATCCAAATAACAATTATTACATAATTTACAAATCTTCTGAATGACAATATTGAGATGAGGCAGATAGGGAGGTCACCTGGATTTTTAGTGTTTTCTCAAGACACTTAATCCCAAGAGAACAATATCTTTCTCATCCCATCAACAGTAATATGACATTTTGGCTTTTAATTATAGCCTACCAGATATTCTACATACACTTTTCCCCCCTTATATCTACAATCAAATAGAAGCTGGTATGACCGTATGAGCACATGAGAATGGCATGGTACAGTTTGCATGACTAATCCTCATCAAGTGTTAATTTAGGATAGAGGAATAAGAAAAATAAGACAATAGTTGACCCTCCACAATTGCCCCATCTCAGCTTTCACTGAAAATCGCATCAATAAAATGATCAAAAGATCACCAGGTCGGGTTTGCTTGCCCTTCCTTTTGTTGTTTAGGATGTGAAGTTGGTATAAGAGAGGAAAGGGGAACTGCGCTAAATGAATAATTTCGTCCTGGTGATGGGCTATTCCAATGGGCATGCATCTGAGATATGGGCTTTGAGCGTAGGACCGCCCAGATTCACAAGAGCCCGGTTCTAAAGATTGTTTGCACGCAGGCACCATTACTATTCTTTCTTTTCTTGTAATGCATCCGGTCCTCCTCCCGGCAGATACTCCTGCCACAAGAGAGACGATTCAAGGAAGAGCACTGCAAGTTAGGAAACTGATTGTCCGAAGGTTTTCGCCGTCCTCATAGAATTGGTTATAACTGAACTTGAATCGCAGTAAAAAATAGCTCTTGCTACCGTTGTAACTAGCAGTGTGTCTGCTAGAATGTCGATGATATTAGGATGCGCCCTGATGTCCTAAAGTATAACGGATTGGGCTGCCAAGAACTAACAGGAAAGCAAATAAGCAAGTCAATCCAACGATATCTCCAGATACTATATTCCTAACGACAGCCCATTTTTAGAGAATTAAACTTCGCTCAACAGCATCAACATATTAGAGTACTGTGTTCACAACTAAAAATAAATAGCCTCTGTGCAAATTGTTGACAGCTAGAAAAGAAGCACCCACAAATTGGCAACATCCCACATGTACCTTAGCTGATTCCACACCCTGCTGTCCAGGCACAGATCGCTCCAAGATGCAACGGATGTCCACTGCTTTGTTGTTGGCACTGTTAGTAATTCACGAAGCTGCTGGCTTCAAAACATCACCTTTCTCCAATACTTGAGGTTGGTTAGGTACAGTAGTATCCCTTGCTGAATGTACCAAACATGAAGAAAGGAATAACAAAGTGCACTGTAAATATTTTGCCATTGGAACCCCAAAGCTTCTGATATAGGAGTAATAACCATATAATGTTGCGCATACCGGGAGGTGTCTCACATGATTCTGACTTATTTTTCTTAATGCCTGTTCACAAATACAGTACTTTAAAGACGTGATGCGACATGTGACAAGGCCAAATTGCATGACGACACGTAATAATATAAATTTCATGATCCATAGAATTTGCCAAACTAATAGCACAATAAGGAATTTCAATCCACCTTATAAGCATCAACTCTAGAAAGCATATGACTGGAAAAAGACCAGAAGCACATACTTAGCCACTGAGCAACATTGCTTGACTGTGGTGCGCCATGGTCCGTCACTGCTCCTAGGAGAATAGCACGAAAATTATATGTGAATAACAATGGACCGCTTGCATAATCAGATATGTTACGATAAAATTTGCAGAGCATGTTTTCTAGAAGACACCCGGAAAAAATTCCACGTCAACTAAAACATCAACACGGTTACTAAGGGGAAGGATGCAGTGCATTCTTGTATGTATCCAAGCATATATTCATAGGCAAACCCAATGCACCTGCTATCATAAATTTACCATCTGAATGGTCATCCAATTTATCCTGATGGATGCAAAAAAACAGGAAACTGGAATATCCAGAAGAACGTGGAGTTCCAGATGTCTTCCGTAACAAAATCAACTTATCCTAATGGTAATATCACAGAGTGCTATTCATGTAAAACGGCAGTCAAAATACCATTCATGTGGAACTCTGTCACCACATACAAATAAATTACTGTACAACAAAGACAATGTGATTATTAAGCTAATAAAAGTTCCTTCT